TTACTAAGATTCATGCTAGTTAATTATATATTATGCTTGTAGATTTTTAATGGATATTTTATGGGATCTAACGTGTATTATGATTGTTTTATGTTATGTTATGTTTTATGTTATGTGGCATTGCTTTTCTTAACTTTTTTTTGCTATGGCTGTGAGCTAATGCTAAAGGCCCCGGTCACACAGGAGGATTTGCCTCGCAAAATGGACGGCTTGAGGGCAGATTAAACCGGTGCGATCAGATGCCAACATCTGGGAAGCATCGCGCACCCGCCCCCAACCCGTCCCTTCTGGCCAAAGATGCAGAAAATGGAGTACCTACTGGAGTACCTACTGGAAGATCCACAGCAACGGCGGACGTGGGATTGAGGACGTGCCAGCAGCCCGTAGCATCCTGCAGCCGTCCGCGACCCGCGCATGCGCACTAACGCAAGACCGCCGTGTTGCCTTGCTGGGACTACACAGTTGCCTCCCCAGTGTGATCGGGTGCCGACGGAGGGAGAACGGAGCCGTGGGGGAGCGTAAGATCACGCTCCCGTGCTTCTTTTAGCTTCGCCTCTAAAATGCCTCCCTTCCAGTCTGGATTTTCCCGCTCGTGTGCCTGGGACCACACTTGACTTGACTTGAACCAGTGATTCAGGGTTACCAACAGAGCTTTTTTATTTAACATTTTTAACTATTCAGAACACATTCTGTATACCAATGCAATTTCTGACATCCTTTGATGAAAATCTGGTGAGATGTTGTCTAAAATGAATCCTTTCTAATCAGCTATGGTTTAAAGCAAAATCCTCTTCACTTTTCCTCTCTGATGTGTCTTTTGTCTTTTGCATACATCCTTTCTTTCATTTATTATCTGGGAGAAGATGGACTCTGACAGTATGGTAGGCTAGATCCCCTGTATAGAACATTGATGATTTATGAAAAGAGCTTGTACTCTGAAGGCATAGACCTAATTTATGGCTTTCTGGCAGATTTATTGCAACAGATGTCAGGATGAACAGAGTAAGGAAAATGATTAAATTAACAATGGAAATTAATGTTGGCTCTCTGCTGTTTACAGTATTCAAAATGTTGGATTCAAAGCTAATTTGTTTTCCTGTTTGAAAAGATGCAGCAGCTTCTGATGTTTTTGTCTTTCAAAGCATGGAGGCGTAAATAGGAAACATTTTCCCACCTTCCCACGCAATACTAGAACCGATGAAGCTGATTGCAGGCAGTTTCAGCACAAATAAAAGTACTTTTGACACAATGAAAAATTAACGTATGGAATTTATTAGCACGTGTTGGTCGCTACTAGCTGAAGGTCAAGACGGACTTCCTGCTAACATCCATGCTTAGGATCTTCCATATATTTTTAAAAAGCTAACTAGCAGATCCAGGTGGTGTTTTGAAGTGCTGGGAAGGGCCACAGGATAAGGGGATGTTTAACCCTTTCCTTCTTCCAAGATGCAATTTCTAGGGAGAAAGACCTTTTTCCTCCACACAGAATTCACTGCAGTATTGGTAAAAAGGTAAAGGTTCCCTTGTTCAAAAGCCAGTCGAGTCCAACTCTAGGGTTGCGGTGCTCATCACCGTTTCAAAGCCGAAGAGCCAGCGCTGTTCGAAGACGTTTCTGTGGTCATGTGGCCAGCATAACTAAACACCAAGGCGCACGGAATGGTGTTACCTTCCCACCGAAGTGGTCCCTATTTATCTACTTGCAATTTCTTGTTTTCGAACTGCTAGGTTGGCAGGAGCTGGAACTAGAGACGGGAGCTCACTCCATCATGCGGCAACTCAGGTCTCGAACTGCTGAACTATTGACCTTCCACAAGCCTGCAGTTCAGCGTCTTAACCACTTGAGCCACCACACAGCAGTATTGGTAAGCTGCTGTAAATCATGAAAAGGCAGAGGACAGGGCTTAGCCCTCCCATCTAGCAACCACCTTCTCTCTACTGCTAAGTAAGCACCTGGAGCTGCCAGTTAGCTTTACAAAATGCAGAAAATCCTAAGCAAGGATCTTTGGCATTGTGGCTGGTTGGCTCCGACTGAGCAGGCTGAAGTTAAACTCGGCGAAGACGGAGGTCCTGGGCCTGAGTCGTGGTGGTTTGGGGTTAGGGTTCCCTCTCCTGACCTTCAATGGGGTACCTTTGGTGCCAGGAGTTTGGGAGTGCTCCTGGACTCCTCGTTATCTATGGAGGCCGAGGTGGCAGCCACTGCCAGGTCAGCCTTCTACCATCTGCGGCTGGTGCGGCAGTTGGTCCCCTTCCTCGACCGCAGTGACTTGGCCACAGTGATCCATGCGACGGTCACCTCGAGGCTAGACTACTGTAACGCTCTCTACATGGGGCTGCCTTTGTCACAAATCCAGAAGCTGCAGCTAGTGCAGAATGCTGCGGCCAGGCTGTTGATGGGTCTTCCTAGAAGGGACCACATCCAGCCTGTGCTGAAAGCGCTGCACTGGCTGCCAATAGCGTACTGGATTCGTTTCAAAGTGCTGGTTCTTACCTTTAAAGCCCTACATGGTCTGGGTCCAGCTTACCTAAGGGACCGCCTTTCCTCATATGTTCCCCCGCGAGCACTTCGGTCCGGGACCCAACATCTCCTGGCAATGCCAGGCCCCAAAGAGGCCAGGCTGGTCGCTACCAGGGCCAGGGCTTTCTCGGTGGCAGCTCCTATCTGGTTGAACGAGCTCCCGGAGGAGATCCGGGCCCTGCGGGACCTTGTGCAGTTCCGCAGGGCCTGTAAGATGGAGCTCTTCCACCAGGCGTATGAGTAGGAGCCGCCGCCACCATCACCATTATTCCATCTTCACCTGGCCCTGGATGAGGGAACATCAGTGGTTCCCTGGAGCAGACGATGCTGAACAGTTGAAATATGCCATCTATGAAATATCATGTTGAACACCTAGAGCACTTTATTAAATTGAATTAAATAAATAAATAAATAAATAAATAAATAAATAAATAATAAATCTGTTTGGAACCTCCAGTGAGGATTATCAAAAGTCATGGAAGATAGATCTATGAGCCCTGCCAAACTAAACTGACTCCCCCACAAGAGTCAGTGTCCCTTTGATTGTTGGACGCTGAGTTGAGGAACAAATGGCTCACTGCTCTTTCATGAAACTGTGCTTGTGAACTTCCTGAGGCATCTAGCCAGCCACTGCTTTGGGCCAGTCCAGTGAGGAAAATCCCATGTTGTCATGTGGATTTCAGTTTTGTATTCATGTTCACCCTCTTTGATAATGTTTTACTTGTTGCATGGTTTTTTAATGACACAAGGCTGATAAAACAATTGCTAAAAATATATTTGAAATTGCTGCCTTACAATGAACTAATATCTCAACGCAGTTCAGTCCACTGTGCATACAGAAGCAAATTTCCATAGATGTATCTCCATCTAGATGGAAAACCATGTGAACAAAATGGTGCTACATGTTCAATTCATCCTTACTGGTGCTCTCCTTGTTAAGCCCTTTGAAAAAGGTTAACATTCTATTTAGGAAGGACTTGAACCTTTTGAAATTGCTCCATCTGTACTGTTTTAGATCAAAGCATAAGTATGTAAAGACATGAACTTATGAAACATAGCCTCAGAATGCCTAATTTTCATTAAATGTGATGAACCATCAATTTAAAAAATCTAGTTTAAGAGAAATGTAGTGATTTTTAGAGTGGCAAACATGGGGTGGGGTCTCCTTCCATAGTAAAGGCACATACAAACCAAGCTCAGTTTTTAAATCAGTTGAACACCAGATGAAAACCAATCCCAGAACTTAATAGATATTAAAGATTGTAATAGCCAAACATTTTCCCCAATATCTAACAGTTTAAGCTTCACTTTCATCGTAAAAAGAAGTGCTCATCAAATAACATCCATAATGGATACCACTTAAATTCATATTCCCCGGGCCCAAAATGTGAGTGTTGTCAGCTTGTAATGCTCTTTTGTCTGGTCTGGATTTTATGGCTGAGCTAGAAAAAAAATATCTCTCCTTCTTCAAGTGGCTACATTCAAATGCTAGGTTCCCAAGGGACTACATTTCCCAGTGTGCTCCTTGGTGCCTTTGTACACAATGACAGGGAAGAGAAGATGGAGAAGAGGAATGAAGTGACTTTGTGCTTGTTTGCTTGTGTGCCGCACTGGCTACCTAGCTGCCTGCAAGTCTGTAGCCACAGCTGCCAGCATGCAGCGGTGGCCACAAGGTAAGTGGGTTTGGTGAACAGAGCAGGAATGGGGACTGGCCACCAGAGGTCCCTATAAATGAAAACGGATTAGAGAACTTTTTAAACAAGATTTGTTCATTGCCAGTTGGCAAATTTGCATGCTTTCCCTCCAAATCAACTCAGATATATCATATTAATTGTTAAAAGGTTTCATAATGAAACAACTGTTGACGGTGTCAGTGTCAACTAATTCGTGACCCATACTCAGATGAGGAAAAATGTTATCGAGTAAGAAGTTGTATGACTTGCGGGGTTGCCACCTTCCAGGTGAGGCCTGGAAATTTGCCAGAATCACTGATCTCCATAGAGAGATCTACAGAGACCAGTTCTCCTGGAGAAATGGGCTGGTTTGGAGGGTGGAATCTATGGATTACATCCCACTGAGGTCTCTCCATTACACAAACCCTGTTCTACCCAGGCTCCATCCCCAACTCTCCAGGAATGTCTCAGCCCAGCATTGGCAACCCAAACTTGGAATCACAATGACCCATTAGACGCCTTTTCAGAGGGTGCCACAATGTCTTTTCAGTAACACAGGCCCTATTTAGTTTTTGTCAGCATTTGAAATGTCTCATGTTAAATTCGGGTTTTTTTAAAAAAATGATTGCACTGACTTACATTGTATGATGCACCTTGAGTCTCAATGAGAAAGGTAGAATACAAACAAACAAACAAACAAATAATTGCTGGTCCATTTCCAAATTGTGCATGGGGGAGTTTGGCCATCTCTAATCTTGTATAGTTCTAAAAGGAAACAAGTAGACCTTGAATCTACAGAAGCCTGAGCCTACCTTTCTTGAAGCCCCACTGGTTTCATTTTGAATGGCGATGGACTGGCAGAAAGGGTGGGCTTGAGTTCAGGAGCACATTGTCCTTGCAGGTCTACTGGGACACCGACAACTTTAGGAGCCTGTTCTGGCTGGACCATTCTGTTTGCCACCTTATATTCAGAGGGAGGTCGCTGCAGAGGGATGGACGAAAGGTGTATTTCCTGTTTTTTGTTCTTATCTTGTCTTCGTGAAAATTGTATTTTCTCCTTCAGTCTGTACAGTACCTATTGAAAAAAGACATATTAAATTGTATATTAAAATATGAACTGTCAATAGCAATAGAAAACACCAGTATCAATGAGAAAAGTCTCAAATTTTGTGCTACAAAAGAATGCCAGAAATTTGATTTGTGCAGTCTACAGTCTTGGGCTTTAATAACAACATAATGTGCTGTTCCCCTTGCTTTATTGAAAATATAAGTATAATATAATGAGAAAGTATTGTATGGAAGGAAATATTGAGCAATAATATACATTGTTCCCCCCCCTGAGTGGAGTTGTATAGCCTTCTATCTAGCTATCTCCATCCATTTCATTACCAATTGTTATCAATTTGGTTTCATTCATTAGCCCTGAAAAATGTAACTTTTTAGAACCATTTTAAAGGGGAACATTTTTGTGCTATAGCTTGTGGATGAGACTTGTTTATTTTAGAGAACAGAAAACAAACTAATAATTAAAAAGTGATTGGTTTATTTTCGTTCCTTTAGCTGTTAAGATTGGTATACTGGTGCTAAAAAGCTAATGTGTTTTTATCCTGGCAAATTTTCTGCTGACTTTGGTTTCAAATTGATTGCTGTATTTTGGGTTCACCTACAACTCTTCTTCAACATGACTACATTGGCAGACAATTCTGAGGTTGTCTTTCTTGAACCAAGATTTGCAGACAAAAATTTAGACCAGACCTCTGTCCTTTTATTTATTTATTTATTTATTTATCATATTTATACCCCGCCCATCCCGCGAACGGCTCAGGGCGGCTAACAAAGCGGTACCATGTACCTAATAATATACCATAAAAATCTTTAAAACTCTATAAAATCACATACTCAATTCAGCACATAAATTAACAGTTAACAATAAAGTGCATGCAGTAGTAGAATTAGATGGTGTGCATTTGAGTGCACACTGAACAGGGAGCTGCAGCCAATCCCAATTTATTTCTTTACTTTTTTATTTATAGTCCACCTTCATTGCAGATACTTCTCGATGACCATATGAAGATGATTTATATCACATCAGCCTATTGGTCTGGCTAGCTCAGCATTCTCTCCTTTGACTAGCGACAGCTCTTCAGGGTCTCTGGCCAGGAAAGGTCTTTCCCATCCTTTAACTACTCCCCAAGATCCTTTCACTGAAAATGCCAGAGACTGAACATATGCTTTGCATGTGTACCATGTTTTTAAATAAGACCACAGACTTCTGTATGCAAAGCATGTTGTTTAAAACTAAACCACAGAGTGGCCTCTCCAAAAAGGTACTGGTATGATACATGTTTCCAAAACACATTTGTTACATTCATACTTTAAACTTAAAAATTCTTCGCGAAAAACCTATAAATGTAACCAATCCAATACAACTGGGGGCTCTGTATGCATGAAAGGCTTCCACATAGGGTTGCCAATTCTAGGTTAGGAAATTCCTGGATATTTGGGGGGTAGAGCCTGGGGAAGTTGGGGTTTGGAGAGGGGAGCAGGCCACACATATTCCTGGCTGGCTGAGGAATTGCGTGAACCCATTCGTTCACATAGATGGTTCCTCTCCACCAGTCCCGCTGCCAGAGTTTCACATATGTACCCTTCTCAAAATAGCAGTAATGATGCTAGTCAATTGTTTTTTAGAATAGTGATTTGCCTCCCTCCTTTCCTGCTAAAAAGATAAATTCTTTCTTTCTGAGGATGGCTCCTTATGCAAGCTGTGACAGCTGTGCGCGCACACACACACACAAGATTGACTGGGGCCAATTAATAAATGTGAATGCCCCCCCTTTTTAGTCCAACTGCATAAAAGCTTGTTAGACACATATTGACAGCTCCTGTCAAATCTGATCATGTAGACATTTAAATTACTTGAATTGGGGGACTAGGACTAGATTAATATGTCAATAGATTTGACACAAGTATGGAGTATTTTACTTTGCTGGTTGGTATAAGAAAAGAAAATGTAGAGAAATATACTTACCATCAAACATGTCACGATAATAACAAAGATGCTGAGAAATATGATGACAGCATAAAATCCTTCCTGGGTCCAGAGTTTACCTGATTCGTGCTTGCCTTGCAATACATTTTTCTTTCATTTATGAAACAAAAACAGAAACAATTATAAGTGCTCAGTCCTAAATGAACCTCTTAACAGTTCTCCTCAGGTAGTTACAAAGTTTTCTCTCTGTTTTATTTCTTCCATAATATTAATTTCCAGGACTTTAATCAGCACCAATAATCTTCTAATCAATTTAATACAGCAATCCTAACATGATTTAAAAGATTATTCTATATCTCTTTAGTGAGTGCTGGAGAGGTCTTTCTGCCCACATACTGAATTGTGTCCAGATATATAGTCAAGCCTAATTCCTTCCTGGAAACCACCTGGCACATCAGGTGAGAAGGCCCTGTTTTGTTTGTAGAGGAAATTGCTTATACTTCCAGTCAGCTTGTTGTTACATATTTCCACCCACAACACCTCCAATAGGCTATATAATGTGGCATTAATCTCAGAATCTTATAGACAAGAGAGAGCCAGGTGCAAACAAAACCTAAGGGAAAGCTAATAAGGAAAGAGAGCTGTTTTGTGTAAAAAAAAAAGTAAACAAAATGAGCTGTATTTATCTTACAGTTCTTCATAAAGCATCTTGATTTTTTGACATCTCAGATAGTCTAGCAAAGCTTTGAGAAAGGTCACTTCTGTCTCCTAGCCAGATTACTAAAATATGAATGAAGTGGAAGGATTTTCCAATGAACCAAAAACGAATATTCAAATGAAACTGTATTTTTCAAATGTTATATATGTATGTATATTCTGGCGGCCAAAAGCATGTGTGTTAACTTCTTATTTCCAACAAGTCAAAACTCTCAGCTATGAAACTTGAAAAAAGAGCCATTTTGCATATAGACCACTTCTAACACAAAATGCGATGGTCGAACCACTATTAACATGGCAGCAAAATGGCCACTCACACAAAAAGGAGGTTTTTCTTTCCTTCCAGGTATGGACTTCTTGGGTATGCAGAGAAAATGTTACTTTGTAAATAAAAGAAGACTTCCCTCTTTCTGCTTACCTACCCTGAAGCTGAAGACAATTACACTCTAGGATTGAGATTTAGGCTTTGTGAGCAGGAATCTGAAAAACGTATTGCACACAAACATGTAGTATATAGCTCTTGAAATTAACCCTTTCTGTGAGCCGCTCTCCCCCCAGCACACACTTTGGTACTCCAATTTTGCACATGTACTTTCCCCCCCTTTTTTGTGCAGCTGTTAATCTGTGACAACTCTTAATCATATTATGCAGCTGCACACATGTTAGGGGCTTTGCATTTGCAGAACAACTGTGCTGAACTGATGCCTGCTGCACACAGGGGGAGGGGGGAATTCTAAGGAACGATCAGCTCTCTGCCTCTGTAAAGTGATGCAGGATTACTTGCTGTGGGCAAGCAAAGAAGGCTAGTTTCCACTCGTCTTGAAGTTGGATTGCTGTCTGCCTCCGCTCTTGTGGATAATGGGTAACCAAAGTCTGAACGTAAGCATGCTTTTCTAACCTCCCGGATGAGATACTGGCATTGCACATGGGTTTAGAAGGGTGTAACTGTGTTCAGGACTGCACTGTCCATCTTTCATTTGGAGTTAGCATATTTTAACTGTTATGTAATTGTAGTCAACCTCACTATTTCAGCTTTAAAATAATCTAATAGCACATACTGGATGATATTCTACAAGGAGATGAAAATGGTACATCATCAGTTACTCACCTCTGGGGAGACTTCGGTAATCCCAAACTGGGATAAACTCTGTTGTAGAACATTGATATTAAGTGACCGCAAGACTTCTTCTGATGGGAGTGTATCAGAAATTCCTTTCCTGTTTACTGGGGCTATGAAGAGTTCAACGCAGTTCTTTTTTCCCTAGCAAAATTAAGAGAACTGACAATAGAAGAAGAACTTTTGGCCCTAAGAAACCTTATTGGCCAAAGTCTTGTGATTCTGACAAATGCATACTAAGGAGGGAATGTTCTCCCTTATCCAAAATCAGAAACAGATAAATCATAACACTTACCTACATGTTCAATATAGTTGCCAACTCAAGTTTGGGAAATTTTAGGAGATTTGGAGGCAGTGAGGACAGTGGAATTTGAGGATGGAGGGATCTCAGTGGAGATGTGACACCCTAAAAGCTACCATTTCCTCCAAGAGAACTGATATTTGCAATCTGGAGATCAGTTGTAATTCCAGGTGCAATCCAGACTCCACCTGGTGTTTGGTAACCTAAACAGGTATTTTGACATCAGAAGCCCCTTCTTCCTGCCCCCAAGTTCTGGCTGCATAGGGGTTATCTCATTACCATGCAATAGAGTACAGACAATTTTGGGAAAGCCAAGAGTTGCCAAAGAGCCTAATCTGGATCCACTTTGGACCAGACATTGAGTACAGAAGGTTTTGCATTCAATCCAAAATTGATCTATGACATCTAGAACCCCCAGACCACATCTGTTTCTTGGGAATTATGTAACACACCTTCAGTTCTACAATAGAGTCTGCTTATGAGAGGGAGGACAGACCATGAGAGGGAGGCCAGGAAGGGTTGCATCAGTGCTTAGTTCTTGTGGCCCTTTCTTACATGCCCAGCATCACCACTTTGGGGTCAGGAAGCAAATTTTCTCCAGGCCAGTTTGGCCAGGGATCCTGGAGGCTTGTTGTAGTGTTTGTTTGGTGGGTGGTTTGTTTGTTTTTGCCATCTTCTGGGAATGGAACAGGGTCACTGGGGGTATGGGGGGAGAGGTATTTGTGAATTTTCTGCATTGTGCAGGGGGATGGACTAGATGACCCTGGAGGTGCCTTCCAACTCTATTATTTCATGATTCGATGTAGTTTCCGAGACATGGTGTTATGTTGGTGTTGCTTACTGGCATTTCAGTGGGATACAGTCAGCTATGTAGATATTTAGGACTGGAATGAATGCCATTGTTGTGAAAATGAAAAACCCATGGAAAGCTAAACACAGCAGTTTTCCAATTCATGGATCAAGTTTAGTTTTTTTAATATTAGCTATTTATTTTCGAAGCCAACTCCTACTTCATTTAGTGAGCTTCAGCAACCCTAAGTAAAACAAACACACAATTCATCCCCACAGTAGCAGTCCATATGACACACAGTCAGCCAATCACAAGCCACACAAGCAAATTATAGAATCCTGAAATCCCAAATTACGGAAGCAAGAAATTCCTTGAGGAACATCCTCTCTCTCTCTCTCTCTCTCTCTCTCTCTCTCTCTCTCTCTCTCTCTCTCTCTCTCAATAAACCCTAGCATACTGGCACTTTCTGGCTCTCCCACTGGCTGTGCTGTGTGCTCCATCAGCCGTTGGCCCATCAACCACCACTCATGAGTACTTGTGTGCTATTGGTTGGGTGCTGGATTTGCTCCTCTCCCCCACCCACTGCTGGCTTGGCCACTCTTCCCTGTCTGAATAAACTGCCAAAACAGCCATCTCTCTTGACGAAGATGCTTCTACTGCCGCTGTTTCACTCCTCAGTGTCTGTCTGGCTACTGAAATGGCTGTTCCCAGCTCAGGAAGAGGCTTCTACTGCTGCTGCATCTCCTGCTTGGCTTCTCCAAGGCTGACTCGCTATTGAGGTGAGCCATTGGCTGTCAAACCATTCTCTTCATCTCCTGCTGTGGGGCTCACTTGGCTGTTGCTAGGCAACCAAGCTTGGTTCTGTCAGTAAAAAGGCTGGGGCAGGAGGACCTTTCCAGGCCTGCTTTGGCCTTTGTGGGGAACTCTTTGGGGCCAGTCCTAACTAGGGTTGCTGTTGTGAGAAAAATAAAATAGTTGGTTCAGAAAATTTAAAACCCATTTATACAGTTAATTTTATAAAGAAATCATAGTGTTTTTCTCTCCTCTATTTCTGTAACTTTCCAAGCAGCTAGCAGCTTAGTGAACATGATTTTGCTAGGCCTTTGTCTCAAGAGATATCTTTCCTCCATCACATACACAGGAACCAACATTCGCATTACATTGTTCATGAATCTAAAGAATTTGGAAACATTTAGAAATAAAAGATTGGTATGCCCCTGCCATTAAGTCAAGGAAGCCAGAATATTTGCAATACTAAAGGCTTGCCTACATGCAGAAATTCACATCACACCTCCAGCCAGCAGACAGTGCCTGACTGGCTCCCTTGCTTCTAGGAAACAAAGAACATCCTGTCTTTGTCATTTAGAGATTTAAATGCTATCTTGCATTGTTTTGCAAAAAGCATCAGGGTAGCCCCATTGCCTCTGGAATGTGGGAAGATTTCCTAGGCCATAATGGCCCACATTGCCAGGGCAATTAGATTAATTGCTGCAGTTTATAATTTCTATGGCTCTATTGAAATGTATGGGACCAATATGGTATAAAAGAAGGCAAGATGCTTCATTTCAGCACTGACCCTTGGAGATCCAGAGAAGGCTTTGTCTTTCGTGATCTCTCTGGGCCACTCCAGAGGCTTCTGTGCATGGGGAAATTTTTGTTCTGTATATTTAACCACTGACTGTTTACTTTTCTTTTTTGTATTCCTTGCTTGTCTTTAGCTAATAAACAGTTTGATTGTTTAAATAACCTTGTATCGCATTCCAGCTAACTTTCTTTTAACATTCTACCCGCCTTGGTAAGGGGCACTCACCAGACCATTACGAACCTAGAGGTGCAGGTAACACTTTATACAGGGTTAGTTTAGACTGACAAGTGCTACAGGTGCATTCTTACAACAGTTGCCAGCTCCAGGTTGGGAAATTCCTGGAGATTTTGTGGCGGAGTCAATGGAAGCCAGAGTTTGGGGAGGGGAGATGCCTCAGCTGAATAGAGTCCCATAAAGTCCACCCTCCAAAGCAGTTATTTTCTCCAGGGGGAGAGAGTCAACCATCAACCTACCTTTATCTGCCCCTCTGACTTCAGCTTTCCATCTCCTCCCCCTTCCCTGCAGCCTCTACCTAGGAAAAGTTCAGTCTTTCTCCACAGCAGAGACCAAAGCAGCTTACATCATGTGGAAATAACTACAATGAGCTCTAGAAAGAGGCTCTGGGCAGGTGTCCCGGCTTTGGGCACTCAGCATCAATTTGCTGTGGCAATCTCAGCAGGGTATAATGACACAGAGTCCACCGTTTTCACCAGGGAAACTGATCTCTACCATCTGAAGAACAGTTGTAATTCTGAGTTATCTCCAGCCCTCACCTGCAGATTGGCAACAATGGTTCCTGAGGAGGAAATGGCTAGTTTACAGGGTGGAGTCTATGGCATTGTACCTGTCTGAGGTCCTACCCCTCCTCAAACCCCAACCTCTCCAGGCTCCACCCCTCAAATCTCCAGGAATTTCTCAACCTAGACTTGGCAACTCTTATCTCCTTCTCAGCCAACCATCAACCTACCTTTATCTGCCCCTCTGACTTCAGATTTCCATCTCCTCCCCCCTCCCTGCAGCCTCTACCTAGGAAAACTACAGTCTTTCTCTGCAATGGGGACCAAAGTAGCTTACATAATTCTCCTCTCCCCCTTTCTGTCTGCACAACAACCCTGTGAGGTAGGTTAGGCTGTGGTCTGAAATCACCAAATCAGCTTCCACAGCAAGAACCTGGGTCTGGTAGACCCTGCCCTGAAGCACTAACTGCTATGCCACACTGGCTGTCATAGGGGGGCCACCTCAGCAGAGTATGATTAGACAGAGTCCACCATTTTCCCCAGAGGAACTGATCTCTGCCATCTGGAGAGCAGGTGTAATTCTGAGTGATCTCCAGCCCTCACCTGGAGATTGGCAACAATTGTTCCCCAGGAGGAAAAGTACAGTCTTTCTCCACAGTGGGGACCAAAGCAGTTCACATAATTCTCCTCTCCCCCTTTTGATCTGCACAACAACCCTGTGAGGTAGGTTAGGCTGAAAGTCTGTGACTGGTCTGAAATCACCCACTCAGCTTCCATAGCAAGAACCTGGATCTGGCAGACCCTGCTCTGAAGTGCTAACTGCTACGCCACACTGGCTGATCTAGGGAGGCTGCTGGTGGTGAACAGGAGCAAGCAGTCAGGCCTTGTTAAGTCATGCCAGTCAGGTGGCATCAAGTCACCCAGAGGGTGCTGCCAGGCCTAGGGTAACCAACCTCCAGATGGAACCTGAAGATCACCTGGTATCATAACTGAACTTGACCAGCTGGAGGGCCCTTTAAATCTAGCAGAAGGGAGGGAGAGGGGCGGTTGTGGGCCGCACACTGGTTTGCAAAAAACGCTTTGGTTCTTTTTGTGAGCCCAGCATGTGGCCCGCAACCACCCCTCTCCCTCTCTCCTGCTACATTTAAAGGGCCCTCCAGCTGGTTGGTAGGCCATGTGGTCCCCGCAGATCAGCTGAAGCCCTTTAAATTGGGCAGGAGGGGAGGGAGAGGGGTGGCTGGGCAGGTGATCATGCTTGGGGCGGAGCTTGGGGGCATCCCTGCCCGTCCCTGGAATGCCCCCCCAAATCCCCCCACCAGAGAGATGAGGGGACCTGGCAACCCTACTAACAAGTGAGACTTCTAATTTTGACTCATTTTCCCACGTGGATGGAAAGAAGGAGGGAAGGGAGAGGATTCTGATACGTAAAGGGAGTCTGGCCAACAGACTGTAATTCTATGAGTGGCAGCAATAGAATTATAGACACAAATAGTTCTATTGGTGGCAGCACAGAGCATAGGGAAAGGATAGCAAGTGGGATAAAGGCTGGTGAGATCAATGCCAGCAGTGTAAATCTCTCATTCCCAGTAGTAAAAACAAGGGCGTAAGGGGTTGTTTTAACCCAGCCTGTTCTGAAGAAGTATGTTTGTAAAAACAGATGTTAAAAAGCATATTGTGTGTTTCTCTGAGTGGTAGATAGTATCACATACAAAGAAAACAAGCCTGTAAGCAAAATTTGGAAGCAAACTATCATTCACCATTTGTTTGTTGTTTTTCTACATGTGTGCCACAAATCCACATGCAATGTAAGCTTAGGAATGAACTGCACAATCACCAAGTGCTTAACTGACTGGTTTTTCACCCCAGGACAGGCCTATGGAAAATGCGTCGAGTATGGTATTCCCCTGCTTCTCCATGGATCCAGAACCTGTCTGGGCTTAGTGGCCCCGAACCCACGCTTTGGGAGGTTCTTTGTGTTCTGTAATCAGACTTTTATGTAAGTTATTTAAACAATGGCCATAAATGAGAGAAGGGGGCTAGTGTGATTTGGTCCTCAGTTCCCAAACTGACTATATGAAATACCTGGAGATTCTGGGGGTGGAGTCTGAGGAGGGTGGGATTTGGGGAGGGGAGGGACTTCAATGCCATAGAATCTACCTTCCAAAGCAGGCATTTTCTCCAGGTGAACTGATCTCTGTCGTCTGGGGATCAGTTGAAATAGTGTGAGATCTCCAGACACAGCCTGGAGCTTGGCAACCCTAGATAGCTATGACTGCCACTGTGGTCACTATTAGAACATTTTACCTCTGAGATCCGATTTTGGCGATTTGCTGGACGGGTGCACTCCATCGTGCTCCAATGTGAGCGACCCGTAATCGCGGCAGATGGGAGGGGTCTCAGACTTTTCCGAGCCCCCCGAGAGCCCCTGCAGGGGGCTCACAGCCTGAGGTGCCAAGGGGTGCCTCTTCCAAGCCCCTTCCCTGTTTAATCTATATATTAATGATACAGTAAGTTACTTGGACTCCCCCAGTTTACATCCACCAAAACCAACAGCATGTGTCTATCTTACTGTATGCCGACAATGCTGTCATCTTAGCTAGAACACCAGTTGGCCTTAGAAGAGCTCTCAGTAAGTTTGCAAACTATTGACCACATGATGCTCAGATGTAACTGGTATAACAAAATTCGTGACAAATATATTACTCCTCTTATAACAGATATGGTGGGACAATCAGGTGCGGAGCAGTGTAACCGATTATTAATTGATGGAAACCGGACAATTACCGAAACTGTGGCAAAACCTTGGGTAGCATGCTACTGCATCTGAAATACACGATCAAATATATAATAACAGTTGCCTAATAGTCTCTGTTTTATGTTCTTCTTTTACTTTATTATGCTCAACTGTATTTTTATAGAGTTTTATTTTACTGTCCTAAATTCAGTTATATGCAATGTTCCCTCTAAGCTGTGGAGTCTTGTGAGCAAAAATTCTGCTTTGTGAGCTCCTGGCATTAAAGTTGTGAGTGAGTGATTTGGCTACAGCATACATTAGTTTGCTCTGGAGCCCTCCTTCCTGAGCCAAGACAAAAAGGTGTGAGCTAGAGGCTAAAAAACTGTGAGCTAGCTCACACTCACTCAGCTTAGAGGAAACACTGGTTATATGAATGTTATATTTAAGCATGTGTGTTCTATGGCTTGTTGCCGTAATAAATGCCTGACTGACTGACTGGCCCCCCTTTACCCCGATAGGTCCCGCTACCGTGAGACCATCATGGAGTTCAGAAGCACATGCCGGACAAGGCAAGCAAGTGATCTTGCGATTCAGAGCCCCTTCCTATATTGGAAGAAAATCATTGGAATAAACTGTGAGTCTAAGTGAAACCCCAATGAGCTAACCAAGTGCCAAAGTGGAGAACCGATTACAAGCCCAAATTGTCATGGAGGGCGGGGAGGAGTGGGGGAGTCCCCCCCCCTTGAAAAGAAAAGTGGTTTTTAAATGATGGCTTGGAGACAAGAGATGGTTCTAACTGTAAAAACTGCAACATAGCCAAATGGGGTGCAAAGTAGTTCAAAGCGGAATAAAATAGACAACCTTTGCAAATGCGAGCTGCGCACGAGCGGGAAGGAGGGGGTACGCAGGCTCGTTGCCCCCCAAGAGGCCCGGTGAAGGGCGTCTAGCCATGGGGCTTTCGAGAGGTCACCTCTTCGCCAGCACGACGCTGGGGAATTGAGGCGCCTCTTTGCCCCGATGGTCAGGAAGCACAGGAAATAATGATTGTAATGGATCTGAAAGTCTGTTTGTGTTTTAAGATACTATGATGCTAAATGGGCTTGACTTAGTTTTAGTGATATAAGATACTCAGTATTATTCTATTATATGTTTTATTCTAATAATAGTAGGAAGGACTAAAAGGTAACTTACATGTAACATGATCCTTGCTATATCTCTTGCTTTATTAGTATTAGTATTCCTTATGTCCCTTCCCTATGTAGTTTGTAGTAAAAAACAATAAAATTTTACAAAAAAATGGAACATTTCACCTCTGTAATTTTTGACAAGAATGGGGTACACAAAAGAGCCGTAAGGGTAGGGTCTATTCTTTGCACAAGCAACCCAAATGAACACATGATGCTGCTTTAGCCTGAGTCAGACGCTGGTCTAACCATCACTATTTCCTACTCTGACTGGCAGCAGCTTCCAGGGTCTCAGGTTGAGGTATGTCACATCACCTAGCTAGGATTGCCAGCTCTGGGTTGAGAAATACCTGGAGATCTGGGAGGTGGAGCTTGGTGAGGGCACGTTTGGGGAGGGACCTCAGCAGGGTGTAATTCCATAGAGTTCACCCTCCAGTCAGTCATTTTCTCCAGGGGAACTGATCATGTTTGTCTGGAGTTCAATTGTAATAGTGGGAGATCTCCAGGTGCCACCTGGAGGTTGGTAACCCTACCTTGTTTTTACCTGGAGATGCCAGGGATTGAACCTGGGATCTTCTGTCTGTAAAGCAGATGCTCTATCAGTGAGTCACAGCCATTCTCCAGTGGCCACAAGGCAAGAGTGCCAGCACACTACTTGGGCTCAGATCATTCCCAGCAGCCATCATGTGGGAGGAGACAATGGGCATGGCTTATGCCTGTCATTGCTTCCTGGACCTTGGCCACCACCTGTCAGTCTACTGAGCTCCAGTGCTGTTTATTGTGGGCAGCAAAATACCTAGGCCTGGTGCCATACCTTTTCACCCCCGCTGTCAAAATACTTCACTCTTAAACTCTATCCATTTTTACCCGCCACAGATTAAATGATGATATGAAATGCTTGCCACTTACGAGGAGTCTGTTGATGTGCACTTGCTGCGGAAGCAATCCTAAAGCGGCAGCCACTCCCCGGCGGAAAATTCGAAGCAACGTGATATTCAGCTTGTTTACATCCATTTGCAGAGTCTGCAAAACAAACCCAAAAACAGGTGAATGCTAATCTTGCTAGGCACATTCAGTCCCCTGCTAATGAATGACCTCTGTGAATTGTGCAAGTAGCTGGCACAAATGGTGGTGGCAGCAAGCCCCACCCCCAGCTCCCTGCGCTGCGGCCTGTTGCCGGCCTTCTGGGGCCCACGCCGAAGTGTAAGGATTTGAACCTGGGTCTCCTAGATCCTGCTCTGACACTCTAAGTACTATGCCACACTGACTTTCATTGGTGCAGTTTTATATGCTCATTTCTTCGTGGAAATCACTCTGAACATTCTTAGGTGCGCCCTTTCAATATCTCTTAATATATTCAAAAACTGAACTCTAATATTCAAAGTAGTTTTTTTGGAATAAGCCCTGACATAAGCCCTTGGTGGCTTAATCATTTATCAACTTGGACTATATTAATCAACTACCAGTCACAACAGTTTCTTAGAAAGAAAGAAAGCAATTACATACATTCCCATATATGTTGAAGCAATTGTGATTCATAGACAGAGGACATGCTTTGCATGCTAAGCACCCAGTTAGCCATTTAGAGACTGAAGGAAGCCTCCTCAGACCAGCCTTCCAGGGTTACCAGTTTCATCAATAGCTGGATCAGGCACCTGTTGGGGCCTGACCATCAAACTCCACCCAGAGTGAGTGGGGTGAAAGAGCCGAGGGAGCAATGCTGCTCACCCATGAAGAGGTGGGAATGGGCAGGAAGAGGTTCTCTTAGCCCTAAACCCAAATTGAAGCACTCAAGACTGCCATAAATCCATGTTTGGTTAAAAAACAATAAAGCTCTTGCCATTATACTGTGTCATTGCTGAGCATATACACAACACACAACCCCATTCTTACGGGAGAACCATTTCCAGTCACAGTAAACAGTTCCGGCCTAAATAGATAGACCAGTCATCTAGCACTATCAAGCAGCTTCATACATTCACACAAAGGTACAATGGTTTATTTATTTAGACTATACATACACCTTTCTGGTAAATGTAGGCCCCAGTCACACCGCAGGAAAAGCCGTGGTGGAAGTGCGGCTTTTTAGAGCCGCAGCAAAGAGAGGCACACCAGCAGGATCAGACAGATCCCTGGAGCCGCCATGCATATGCTCCCCAACATCATCAGATGCGAGGGGGAAGCCATGGACAGGATAGTGAAGCGAGTCAGCTGCGCATGTGTACTCCTGCACAGTTCGGCAGGAGGCCTCGCATGCTGCGGGAGACGGGCGCATCAGCGATCACACGGCCGCCCGTGCAGCGGATTTTCCAGTAGGTAGTAGTGCTTTGCAGGTTTATTTTAACTCCGCATCTTCGGCCGGAAGAGACCGATCAGGGACGGGTGCACGCCGCTTCCCAGATGTAGTGGTGTGATCACGCCCGCTTGATGCGCCCCCGATCCATCCCTCTTGCAGATCAAATCCTCCTGTGTGACCGGGGCCATAATAGCTCATTCTACCTTGTAAAATAAGCATCAGATAATGATTACATCTCATCCTGCTGATCTCCATATAAACCAAGCTAGACAACCTAAGGAACGCAGGCTCTAATCCCCTTCCTCCAAAACAAGTAGCTAACACCATATGACACCAGTGTAGAGGGCCAGGAGAAAGCCTTTGCAGACAGTGTCTGGCCTAGAGACCTTAGACAGGGCAGATTGTTATAATACTAGGCACCATGACATCTGAAGTATTAACATTCAGATGCTCAGCACCAAATTCATGGTGATTTTAAAAAGCACTTCAAAGACTGAACATGTGAAGTTACCTTATACTGTCCCTGTTCATAAGTTATACAGAATGCACATACAAGCCATGTACAGTGTACACTTGATTTTTTAAAATGCATGCTTTGAGTAATTCTCATGTTACATTCAATTAATGTACAGCTGAATGGGTGATTTAAACACCACATTTACCCAGGTACTGATCCTTGGTTTCATTTGTGTAGTAGTAGTGGTAGAAAATTTATTGTATATGGCCATAGGCCTTCACAATCTGAAATCATTTATAATATAATGTACTTGCAGATATAACAATAAAATACATCAGTAGAATATAGCAATATAATACATATTATCTAAGTTTGTGAACACACTTCAGCTCTTTCTTGTAAAGAGGTGTTTTGTTGTTGTTCAGTCGCACAGTCAAGTCCGACTCTTCGCAACCCCATGGACCAGAGAGGTGTACTCACATACATACAAGGTGTACATTGTGTTCAATGTAACACATGAACAGGGCTACTGAATCAGACCATTGGTGTAGCAAGATCAGTATTGCCTACTGCTCTAACTGGTAGTAGCTCAGCAGTGTGCTTCCACATATGCTAAATAATGTAGTTTCAATCCACTTCGGCAACCATTTACAAGTGGATTTTGCTATTTCACACAGTAAAATCCAGTTGTGAAGTGCATTGGAAGTGGATTGGAAGGGTGTTATTTAGTGTGTGTGAAAGTGCCTGTCTCAAGTAGAGATCTTTTATTTGCCTACTACCTGAGCCAGGTAGGGTTGCCAAATCCTTTTCTTCTCGCGGCGGGGGCTCCCGGATGGTATCCCTAGCGCGCGCGCAAAGCGCTCGTGCGCCGCATGCATGTCAGCCGGATGTGACGTGCTGATGCCGGGCACGCTGGGGGTGGGGCCACAGCCATTTGAGAGGAAAACTCTGTGTTTTCCCCTCAAATGGCTGTGGCCCCGCCACCAGCGTGCCCAGCGTCAGCACGTCAAATCCGGCTGATGTGCACGCCGGGGTGGGGTTTCCCCCAGGGCCCGTGTTGTGTCCACTGACCGCCACCGGAGGTCAGCGCACATACCTGAGCTTCAGTCCTGGAAGACAATGGGGACTAGGATTCTAGTCCCTCCACAGGGGAACCAATGGGAGCCATGGCGGGGGATTCAAACCCACCAATGGTGACCAGGGGGCGTCCCCAGGTGTGTATATAGTTGGCCTGCCGGCCGTTTGTCCGCATGTCTTGTTGTGTGCCTAATAAAGCGTGCTATGCACTACGT